CTGCACGGGGTAAACATTCAGTTTTGTCCTTATTAAAGCTTTTTGAAAATTCTACAGCAAGTCAACTGTTTTTTAAATAAAATGCCTTTGAAATAAACACATCCCAAAATACAGATAACTTAAAAAGAGATTTTTTTTCCAATATTTATATGTAGCTCTTATTTCTCAACTCTCAACTCTACATCCACAGATAAACCCATATTGGGACTCATTTATGATTTTGCTGTTTTTCTGTAGTGCACTAGCACTTATCTGCAGACTCTATGGGATATGGGCTGTCTTTTGAGTAAATTGCACCATTATTCATTGCTTATGTATGCACATGTTCCGCATGGCTAAAGAGTGGATCAGAGTCTGCCTGGGATTTCTCAGCAGTCAACCTCTATCTTTTTCTTTTCCTTGAAAGTGCACATAGCTCATTAATGAACCATTTTCTAGGGTACCTTGAAGTACTCTAGCAGTGCATGTGTTCACATATTAATGTGGCGTTATAGGAAGAGTGCTTTGCAAGGAAGTAACTTGCACAACCCTAGCATTCAGACATGATTACAGTAGTAAAATATCTCTCCAGGACAGGTAGTCATTTAAAGACTTCCAGTGCTTAAATGTCCAGAAAAACTAAGTGCTTAGTTTAAATAAGAGTATGGAGTGTGTCATTTTCTGTCTGACCGGAGCATTTGACTTTGTTATTGAATGAAATAGAAGAATGCAGTATACCATTACATCCAAATGGAACTTTGATGAAAATCTATGCAGTAAAAGTGCACAGTCATGTATGATTCCTGTTGTCTTACCTTTAAGTACAGCACAATGGTTCCATCTCTCTCTTCAAGCATTTTGGATTTAGCAACCCATACATTTCCTACAATGTGTTGTATTTGAGAATGTATCTGCTAAAACAAATTCCAGGACCCCTGTACACTTTATAGTAGTCCCTTGATCATTTTTAATTAAATCAACCTTCAATCTACAATGCACAAAGAGACATTTTACATTTTGATTTGAATATGTTCTTCAAAATGTGGAGAAAAGTTCTGCTTCAGAAGAAAAACGATGACAATATCCTGGTACAAAGATATGCAGTAAGCATTATTTCATTACTTATGTTGTCTTTGTGAGTAAACAAAAACTTTTAAGGCCTATGCATTTGTGATTATCACATGATGCTAGCTGTTAATTAGTTTGTACAAGTGTCTTCAGAGGAGCTCCATCTCTGTAGTTACCCTTGTCATTCTCTATGCATACGAGTCTTAGAAACAACACACGGGATCAAACTAAAGTGTATTTATTTAATATATTCATTCAATTCCTAGTCTCTTTCTTCAAAATATGGACATTTTGGTCCTTCTTGGCTTTCTAATATATGCATTATTATCTCACAGTTCTTTTGTTGGTTAACCAAGTAATCTTTTCTGTTTTAAAGTCTTTACAATCTGCAATGAATGTCATTTTAAACTTGTTTCCATTCTTTTGATAAATCCAAAATAAACAAGAAATATACTATATACTATTAGTATGCCTATGCCTTTATAAACGTATTACAAATTTACAAATTATTACTTTCAAAGAACACAGAGGGACCTCTGTCACCGTCTGCGGACGGTACAGTACACGACACACATTATCCCACTTAAGTTACACACGTTCATGCATCCACTTTCCTGTCGGCTAGCTAGCTCATGGGGGTGCACCCTCAGGGCTCGGCTAGCACTTTCCCATTCTACACACGCAAAACATAACCACATTTTATTTCGAAACCAGTTCCTGTTATCTGTAGAAACTCAGACACAAACACAAACCCTGAAGGGCTAACGTTATGTTTTCTGTTTATTCGTACTTATCTGTGTGAGAGTGCGCTCTGTCTGTCTGCTTATCTGTCTGTCGGTCTTCTTTTTCCGTGTTGTTGCAGTCTGACTTCCGGGTATGGTGGCATCATTGGTCGAAACTCAACACCTGTTCTCAGCTTGGCTTTGTAGTTCAACGCTGAGTGGTGCATGCGCACATCTTCCGATATATGAAGTACCATTTTTACAGACAAATCAAATGAGTAAAATGTTTTGTTCATGGTTGTTTTCGTTTTGGGGGGCATTTTGTATATTCTATTGTTTAAAGGAATGAATGGATCGCTATGGCTGGAAATAAATATATCGGGAGAAATGCAGCTCAATAATTTTTATGTAACAGTGGTACGGTCCGAGGGGGCAGGGCTATACTATACCTATTTAGGAGGCGTCTTGGCTAGGCCAAAGGAGAGCTGATAGGACCTAAGTGTGGTGGTACTCCTGGTTTGTAATTCTCAGAGGAAGGGTTTAGGTTCCTTTTTTATTTTTCCACTATATATAATTGTTTGTTGGTTTGTGGGGAGCACTGTCCTAATAAATTCTTTACTTTTGTACTTAATTGCTATTGCAGCTGAGCCATCTTTTAAAAGAGCTCACTTGGGCACCCTTCCTGCCCTCCCTGTGACAACCAACAAATAATAGAGACAACAAACATATCCAGGCATGTCATTGTTTGTTTTAGCATATTTGTAATGCAGATCATATCCATATTTATAAGGAAAGCTCTACTAAAATAGATCAGACATTTATTAGATGTATTTTTTTTATTCATTTAAGATTCTGAAATGCAGAAACATCATGACCTGTTAAAAACAACCAGAGAGGATGTTTACTGCTTCAAATGTAATTGGGGAAATAAATAAGTGCTTTGTTATATAAAATTACCACATTTTGATCAAAGTGAACAGACAACAGCTCCCTTTGAAAAAGTTATTTTTGACCAAACCTTGTTCTTCTGGTGTGCTGATGTACACATTTCGTTTTAAATGAGCTCTACTTGGAAAACAGTAGAAAATCATCCTTTACCAGTTGCCGATCATATTATCCCAGAACTGGGCTGATAAGCTATTTTAGCTAATATGAAGATGCATATTGAGTAATCCAATGCTAGAATGGAAAACATCCAGACATTATCCTATCATCATAATAAATAATGCAATAGGACTTGTATGGAATGTTTCACCAGAGCTTCAATAGGCTTTAGTTGTTTTTGCTGTATGGATTCAACTCAGCTGACTTAAAATTTAACTTCATTTGTAGCTAAAAACTTTAGGCAACAGGCCAAAAGAATAACATTTCTGCTTTAAGAACAGGTAATGGAAAGAAGTGGATCAATGCATTTTGTTGATTAAACATTAGATCTACATTTAATCATTTGGCAAACACTTTTATCCAGGGTGACCTATAATCACAAACATTGCAAAATCACAAACTTAGGACTCTCTCTTTTTGTTCTCTAGTAATAGATGAATGCACTTCCTTGATTAAACATATGCCTCTTACTATTTTGCTCCTCTACTTCACACGGGGCCTGTTTTTTTTCTATATACAGTATATGATTTATATACTGTATGGCATTAAAATGGCTGCAGTGCACATTAAACCAGATGCTAACTGACAATTTCTCATTTTTTATGAATAAGTGACTGTGGCTGATGAACCAAAAGTGACCGTGAAAATCTACTTGAATTACATAAAGAAAAAAATGCAGGAGCTGTGCAATGTTGTTTCTCCTTTAGAGGGCACACAGCAGATCAAATGACAAGAAGCTTGTCAGAAAGAAATGTCTGGCCTTGTTATAATATGCATGACTCACTTTTCGGATTCACTTCCACTTGGCAGATTCCCATAGAGCTTTAAGGCTATGAAAAAATATATTGTCCTGGCAAAAATGAAAAGAGAAAATCTAACTTTCACAACATCCTGTGATAAATGGTGTCAGGAGTGTGATAACTGAATTTTTATGCTGGTTGTAGCTGCAGATCACATGGCTTTGCCATTCCTTTAATAAACATCAATGGAATTAGGTGGAAAAGATTAATTGTGGAGGTCATCATGTACATTTTCAGTAACTGATCTAGTACTGCTCTAAACAGCATTAACTCTATAAAAATATTTTTAAAATTAGGTAAAACAAAGAATCAATAGCTCTCATCTATATAGTGTTCAAGTTAACACCAATAACAGCACTTAAGCTTTATATTTGAATACAGACACAGACAAGTGGCAGTGATCAGTTCCAAGAAGCTACTGTAGCTCTATATCCATTTAATTAGAACACACTCTTTATCTTGCTATATGTGTAACAGGATGTTGTTACCATGGTTACAAGAGTCCTCTCCAGTAACCATGGCAACTATTTCTCAAATCATGCAATAGAAAGGGGAAATCAGTGGAAGTGCATGTTTTGGCAGCATTGATAGTCATCTAGACTCTTGAAACCTCTTCATTGAATCTCACTGTGTGAATCAGAAAAGATTAAATCAATACAAAATGTCTGAGTGGGTGTATAGGGGCTCAATTAAAAGGACAGCAAACAAGATACAGTATAAAGGCAGGGCACTGAAAGAATCCTTTACTTTAACAGGAGAAATAATAATTTTCTTTTTGAACAGTTCACTTTTAGCAAATGGATCTTGAAATGTAAGCTAAAAATGTGTATATAAATCATTCATGCATTTGAAAGATGGTTTTAATGAAGAGAGCTAAATGAAACATTAATTTGTTTTTATTCCTGTACTTCACCTTGTCAGTTAACATTTCAAATAATGAAGTGAAAAGTCTCAATGTAATTTGAGATTAAAGATGAGATGTAGAAGTGATTTCACCCTGCCAGTTTTAAAACTATCACTAAGACAAAATGATGATTATCAAATATTCCCTAGCAACATGCCTTGTTCTGTTGATATTATCATGATGTATCATGCATTATTGTTAGGTGTAAGTATTAATCATAATACAAAAGTGGCCACATGCTCATTCTTACTTTTTAATTGTTATTCAGACCACAAATGTCTAATGTGTTTTACACCTGTAATTCTTCAATTGCTGGAATGCACAGTATTCTTTTGGTGATCTTAGTGAAACCTTTTTTGTGACCAATAAGTAAGCTTCGGGTGACTAGCTGTAAAGCAAGTTAAATAAATCACACAGTCAAGATCATGTGCAACTGTCGCTTCATATATTTAAGAAAGAAAATTTTATTTGTGATTTATAAACAAAACACGTTACCGGTATCAATAAAAAAATCACTAAATCACTGTTACACTGATGAGCAGGTGTACAAAATAAGATTATATAATAGATATGCACTGTCACAGTCAACAGCTTAGTGCCATCTATGGTTATATACACCAATAAAGGATGATTGCATGGAAATTCACAAAACACAAGCATAGAGTACATATATTTTTAAGGGGGAAGGGTATTCTTTTCTTAGGCGCATACATAATTCAGTTTCACATTACAGTGTTAGTTAGCATTTCAAAGCCTAACACAAAAAAAATTAAAAAAAAAGATTGCAATTGAGAGCATTACACTATAGCATTACATATATCTAGAAGGTTAGTAACGTCAGTCTGAGAAACACAAAGTTTGTGATTCAAATTCTGGTGTATATGCTTGTTTAAAAGGTCAGCAGAGACAATACTTGTACCTCTTGTGTGAGTAATGGAGAAAAAGATATCTATATATATTGTATTTTGTTTTTCTGATTAATACATGCAACAGCCACTTAGTGATCTGACAGTACTGAACTGTGATACTTTATGTTGACTGCAGATAACAGTTTGAGAAAAGCAATCTGATAGCTGCAATAATATTAATCCCCAACCGATAAGGGCTGGATTGTATTAAGGGGATTAAATGCAATTAAAAAAACAGAGAAAATTCTAAACATCCCAAACCTTGTTTTTTTAGCCATTTAATAAATATATCTTCCATATTCCCATCTCTTAATAAAAAGCTATGATATAACTGCACAATTTACTAAAAACGTTTTTTCTTTCTTTGTCTTGCTGCAACACACAATTACAGGTTAACAAATCTCCAAGAATATTGTTGATCTGGTAGCATCAAAGAACAGGGATATTCTAAATGGAAATTCTATATTCTATATTTCAAACAGAACAAAATGTTCTTGTCCCTGTCTTGCCCCTGTCCTAGGGCAGTGCTTCTGAAATGTGGCCAGATCAACACTGCAGTGAAACCACCTTGCTGGAGTTTTCTAGAAGACACTGTTTCAGCCACCAGTAAAAATGCTGATGTCTGCACTTTGGGATAGCGACCACATTTAGTTTGAGAGCCACTGTCCTTGCTTAAATCTCTTGCTGTATACCATTTTAATATTAGGTAAAAATCTAAAACAAACTCAAATTTGAAGTCTTTAGTGATAGGAACACTGAAATTTGGCAAATAGTTTCTTAAACTTACAACCTCTAGCCATGTTCAAGAATTGGGCTTAAACAGTACTTGAGTCAGGTTACAGCTTGGATAGAAGCCTTGTGATAACATTTAAATTTTGTGGCTATTCCTTATTATCTTTTCTTTATTTTAGTATATGAAGAAGCTGTCAAACAAGCAAAGTAATTAAAGATGGGATCTCCAAATAAAAAGATCAGCACACCCAAAAATAAAAAAAAAAATAAAACAACCTTAAGCTTGCTAGTTATACAAGCACCAAAGGCAAAGAGCTGGTGACTGAGGAGAGTGGATTTGAAGCTGCTAAAGCCCAGGATTACTACAAAACATTCAGAGCGAAGCATGGGAATCAGGCTTGGCTTGAAAAGAACTAGCAACATTCCCTGTATATTACAAGACCCAAATAAAAATCATAAGTCGAACCACTGGCTCATAACCCTGTCTTCTGGGGAGGGGTTTGTCCTCCAGCTTTGTTTTTGTTTTTTTTTGTCCTCAAGAAGACAAGTTTCATACATCCAGCCTTTCTTTCTCCTGGCTCCCAAACGGGTTTGGGCAGAAAAAAAAAAATCCTTCTAAAAAAAGTCTTATTTTTCACTCATCCAGGTTGCAAGGGTTATAATACACATATACGTTCTGGAAACTTGTGCTGGAAAAAAGAATTGGTAAAAGCTGTGTTTTCCTTCAGCCTTGGCTGTCCCCATTTCCTGTTTGCTTGGCCACCAAAAAAAAAAAGGAAAAAGGAAAACAGGCTAACAGCTATAATTTAGCCCCGGTTATAAGCACTGTTAAAGGGCAAGGGATCCATGTCACACAGACTCAGCTTGTCTGCCCCTTCAAAACACTGATTCATAAATCTGAGTTGGCCATTCTAGGATCTTACTGGTACAGCCCTGCCTCCATGCTGAAAGATCTGCATAATCTCATCTTGCAATATTTACAAGCGCTGCATGTGTCCTGCTCAAAAGCATTAGCACTTCTTAAGCGTGTGAGGAACTCTTTGCCTATCTGCTCAAATCCTTTAAAGAAACACTGCATGGGAACCGATAAGACAGAGATGCCAACGTCCGTCTGCACAAGGAGAGCCTCCCCCTACAGGGGCAGGGGTGGGGGTGGGGAGGCAGGGGTTTTAGAAGGTGGAGACAATGGTTCTTGCGTTGCCTTTAAAGGTAGGCAAAATCTTGGTAGGCAGGAGGAGGCGAGTGGGCCTTTCCAGTCAGGTGATTTTTAGGAGCCAGTGCTTCTCTATCGGGGTAGAGACGCCACAGCTGTGTCTGTTCTGAATGTCACTGGGCATGAAGACTGCTGCAGTGAGCAAATGCATTGCCGCATGGTTCCCGGTCATGTTTTAACATTTTGTTTTGGAACCAGCACTTCATTCAGCCACCCACAACACAGATCAGCAAGCCAAACAGTATAATCCACTCATTTACAGGTCAGTGGAGTCCCTGCTGGCAGCATTACAGCTTGATTCATATAATTTCCTGTTTTTTTTTTAAAGGACATTTTAAAGGCTAAACTTGTAATTAAAGACTAGGTTGCCAGTGAGTCAGCAGCTACGTGGTATATGTGATTTCTGGGAGAGCTCAGGAGGAAAAAAAAAAGAGAAATCTGCTTGCGTACTCCCAAAATTGACAAGTGAACGCATGGTTAGTTTTATAACCGCTGGTATAAGATGACATTGGATTGGATTTGAAACTAAAGCAGGGAGCTCTCCTTTTGGTTCTGCCTTTTGACTTTAGTTGGTAGCTCTGTGTTAAGGACATCCTCTCCCTATTGCTCGCTGTTGTCATTGTTTCCCTTCTCCTTCTTGTCTGCCTTGCCCTTCTTCTTCTTTTTCTTCTTCTTGGTCTCCTCCTTCTTCCCGAAGGTGATGAAGTCGCTCTTGTCATCGCCTGTGGGCTGGTCCTGGCGGATGGAGATGATGGCAGGGGAGCCTGGGATGATAAAGGCCTCAGGGACTTCGCCAGGCTTCAGGGCCTGGGGGTGACCAGGACCAGGGCCATATCTGAAGCTCCAACTGTTACTGTTTATTCCTGCTCCAACAGGGGGCGACACCTCCCCGCCTTCAGGTTCTGAAAAGCAACGGATAAAAACGATTTTCTAATATCCAAGAGATACACACAAATCAATGAACCTCCATGTTTGATGTCTCATTAAACAACAAAATCATTCTTATACAGCGGTTTTCACAGCCAAATACCCCAAAGCCAATAATGTTAATGTACGACAGAAAATGTAAACGTCATCTAAAACGTTACTTATAAGATTATTAAAAGTAAAAACACAGACCTCACAATGCACTTTAACTCCTTCCACTGTGCAAGTTAATAAGAACTGGTTAAGAATAAAGTGAGTTACCACACACAGTGGCAGGACTTAGGTAGATGTCATGATCAGATTAATTTGAGTTATGGTGACAATTTACAACTCATCCAAGACAAATTATTACCTTACTGACTTTAAGAAAAGTGCCAAACTCTCATTTTAAATGGTTGCACCAGGATTTTTCTAGTTTTACCAGAATATGTTGGAAACCTAGCATAGGCAAGTAGGCAGTAGGTAAATACATGAACAACATACAGTACATTTAGTGTTTCAGAACCCTATTTATGATGAATTAGGGCAACTACTATACTGACCTGATTTTTTTAATCCACATTTTATAATGTGATCTAGAGTAAGTATCTACAGCAATATCCAACATGCAGACTGATGTAACACTGAACTGATATTATAAACACCTTTTCTTACAGCAGCTTGTGGGGAATGAAACAAGCAACAGCAGAGAAAACCATTGAAATTGTATTAGATACACAAAGAAGAAAGAGAACAATTCTGGTCACAAAAAAACACACTTAAGTTCTGCGAGAGAAAAAAAGGTTAGAGAAGAAAGGACTGACCTTTCAAAGAAAGACAGTTTACATGCGATATCAGATGAATTAGCATATGAGGATGAGCAGCTTTTAATACCCTCACATAAACTAATCCCTTATAAAAGGTAATACTGTACATTAGCAGGACCTTATGACAGATCTTTTTTTAACATCACAGTTCTGCTACACTGACAGCTCTTGATAGTGACAGATCTTTTCTTCATGATTTTTATACATTCAGTCAAAATCCAACCTCGACTAAAGGCTGAAAGATAGCTTTTATGTTAACTAGACACAGACACTGGGTTGCCCAAGCTTAGGCCACAGTGCTATGTGAGGCTTTTTTGTCAGTTAACCATCTCTGACCTTAGAATTTTTTTTTTAGCTTGAGCAGAAAACCCCACTACAGAGTTCAGTCCCTGTACTATGCAGTACTGTATATAGTGAGATGAGAATGTGAATAATTCATGCAGCCTTCCACATTTAATACTATTATATAATAACTGTAGGCCATATTCAGGAGTATGTGTAAGGTTTTCAGATGGAAGTTAAGTAATTTAAATACGATTAAGCGAGGAAATATTACACAAGAATTGGTTGTTACAAAAGACAAATATAAGCATTTTAATAATTGCCAGGTGTGATAGAATAATATTGTTTTGTTACTTTTATGAGGGAGAAGAGTAAAATGAAATCCATCGAGGCATTAGGTTTTAAAATTGTTTTTTCCATCCTCCATTAACATGAATTCTTAACCACAAAGAATAAAATGGCAGAAATCACAGAACAAGGTATGTCTATACATAGTTTAGAGGAGACTGAGCCTTGATCAAAAATATCAACTGTTCTCCACAAGAAGTCTTATTTTATTCATTCAAAACAACTTTTTTGCCTTATATTTAACCTAAACAACATATACAGCATGTGAAAACAAGTGTAAATGTCAGAATGATAGCCATGTAAATAATGCTTGATAAGCATTTAAGCCCTGTGAAAGCAAGTTGCAATATTCCCTTTCCCATTTTTGATGGTCCTGCATCTTGTGCAAACAGATGAACACATCCCTAATCTTTCTGCAAGTTTTGGTGATTGAATGTCTTCAAGCCACAAATAATGGTGTTTACATTAAAAAGAATATAATAGACTAGATAATCGTGCTTTAAAGTGTCTCCAGGAAAGCTCTTATCTCTAGCCTTTGAAATGCCTGCTCCCTTAAACCTTTGACAACAGATACAGTACAATGCTGTATATTGAAGAAATCTGACAGAAACCTGGAACTGTGTTGTGCTGCATGGGCAACGCCCTTTTAAACCGCATGGCTCCAGTGACTGTGGATATTCTGTCGATTCACACATGTGGTGTTATGCATCACGTGAGTCCTGAACTGATTGAAGCTGCTGTATGGCCAGATCCCCACAGACACCACGTGCAGTGTAGCACATCTGGTGCTTGAAAGAAACAAAGAGCTCCCGCCTCCCAACACAAAGTACGCCCCACACACAAATCTCAAAATGAAGGCATTCAGCTTAACCTGTAATAATTCATTATAAGTAGTGTTACAGAGCAAATCACGACAGATGTGGAATCATCTGTCATAGTTCAAATCCATGCCATTACTGCAGGAATGCCAAACAAACTGCACATGGGAGGTGCAGGTGAAAATGGGAGGACTCAACTTTATTTGGTAATGAAGTGCAGGACTATACCACTCCATTTCAGCAATGTGCTTTAGGTTTTGCTAATGTTAAACACTGGAAAATGTACATTGTTCCCCTGCTATTAAGGCTGTACTAACAAAATATGCTTCAGAACTGAATGGAGGACTGTAAAGAGCAAATAAATAAACTATTCCCTCATCATCCCTGAATTTAGTTTTAAATAACATGGTAGTGAGAGCATTTGGGTGACAGGGACACATTTAACTCTCAAGCATACTTTCTTTTAATTTCAGACTGAGGAAACATTTCACTGGAGTAGAAAAACATGCTCTTATCCTCTTATATTTGCAGCCTTAACAGATTTTAATAGTCCTGACCTACTTTTCTTTTAGATCATGCCGCAGCCCCGAAAGGGGAGTTTGTATTTATTTATTTTTTAAGCTTTATAACTAAGCTGCCAGTGAGAAAAGTGGAGATATTTTTAATATCTGCGTCACCCTGCCAGGAAAAGACCCTGATCTTTCTGACGAGGAGAAATAATTACACTAACAAAGTGCAGCTGTCTCTGGAAAACACTGAAAAATGGACACAGCCACACAGCCGACTTGCAGGTACTGTATAATTATCAGCTTCTGGAACAATGTGAAGTCCTTTTTATGCAAATTGCAGGCTGCAAATATCTAGCTGCTGATTTACACTTAGAATACTTCTTTCTTTACTCTCTTTACATAATATGCACAGTCGTTTCAAGTCTGTCTCAGAGGGAATTACTTGTGCTCTTCAATATCCTTCAATAAAGAAGCCACATTTTCTATCTCAGTGTTAAAAAGATGCATGAAAAGGCCACTCCACTAGCAGTGCATAAAATTAATATAGGTATTTTTGTCACTAAGATCCCACGGTACTAATAAAATGAAAAAAAGTTCTGTGCTGGTAAAGAGCTACAGTAAGGAACATAATCCATGCACTCCACTATTTGTAGAGAGATATACTTTATTATATATATAAATATGAACCACCAACTCAACAATTATGTCCTGCGAATAATTAATCAAATGTTAGCTTGTTTACGTATCATTAAAACTTTTATCATTTAGCTTATTTACATATCATTAAAACTTTTTTCATAAGAAGATCATCAGAAGGAGTTAGCCTAGTCCACTCTTATCCACTTAAACACCCTCGTCCAATATCAACTTATGCATTACAAACATTTTAATGATATATTCATTATAGTATGTACAGTATTTTGGTTCATTAGTAGTCCCTGTGTAGCCAGATCTCAAACCTTGACCTTTCTACTCTCAGAAACCTACCTTAACTGATCAGAAAATCCAATTTACAAACATCCTGTAAGCAAGCTGATCTCATCTAAGTGCTGTTCTAGCTTGTTAAAATTATTGTAGACCTAAAAGTGAACACTACAGCACATTGACCCCTAGTCTGACCCTACAGCAGACGGGCCTTGATGCCCCAGTTCGGTGACAAAGAAATTTATGGGAGCCCTTGAAAGACACTTATTAAATATGTCTGCTTTTCCTCCCTGACAAAATAAAACTGGCAGTTCAGGAAAATGGAAGGAGCACATTTTTATCTTAATACACAACACATTAATTGATCCACAGAAGCATGGGTTACTTGAGTTAAAATAGTTTATATATGAGTCACCTCTAAAACGAATATTCAGAAACAGGACTTGACCTTAACAGTTCCCTTAAGGTCTACTCTTCAGTCAGGCCTGACTTTGAACTGTGATAGATGCGCAAAAAAAGAAATAACTGCAGAAAAGCCATTGAGCGCCTAACCCTTTTTCAGCAGAATAGGACTAAGACTTTATAGAACTGATATTTCCTGTTTTCATTATTAGACTTTCATTCAATTAATTTCTTTGGGTTCTGGAGGCAGAGGTCAGATTAAGTTCATGAGACCGATTTCCTGTTAACATCATGGACATAATGAGATTTGGGGAAGATATGTTAGCTTGGAATTTCATTAACCGTCTCAGTAATAATCCAATCTAAAACAAATACAACTCTGTAATACAGTACATTGTGATTTCTAAAATGAATCAATTAATCAACTGACCAACAGACTTTTAAAAAGAAATCTGCTTGATTAGTGTCTAAAATTACAACTGGTTACATGCTACACTGTATATTGAGAAGTACTACAATGATTGTTTATTTTCAGAAAAGAGAACGTAGACCTTTTTTCCTGATATTGTTATTATTTAATAGTAATGATGATGATGACAATGATTACTAGTAAGCTTCTTACATGAATGATGATTGCATTACTGTTATTTAAAAAGCAAATGTTAACCTGAAACACAGCCCCTAATTTCCAAGTGAGTCATACATTGGAGCCTTTAGCTAGAAAAGGATACACAGAAGAAGAAGTGAAATGCACAGAAATGTCTGGTTAAGAAAGACAACTGTGAATATCAAGATTTTACACATTGCTTGTGAATCTCATTAGAATATTGTTCCTATATTTCAAGTAAAGAAAACCATCAATAGAGGATCTATGTCTTTTTGTTGT